CTTCCGGGCCCCTCTCTCTCTTGCTTTCTCTATCTCTCTTGCTTTCTCTGACTCTCTTGCGCGTGCTTTCTCTCTCTCTCTCTCTCTCTCTCTCTCTCTCTCTTTCTCTCTCTTCTCCTCTGTTGCACTGCTGCAATAAAGATCTCTTGGTTGCTCTGAGTGTTGTGATCACTTTTCTTTCAGTTTCTGGATTGGTTGAGATTGTAAGCAGGATGCGATGGCACCCGGAGAGTCATCCGTGTGGGATTCTGAATCAGAGTTTTAATATCCATTCAGGAGTGTGGAATAAGCTCACTCCATTCTCTGAATAATTTTCCTTAAGTCTTTCCCTCCTCCCTTCTCTGGCTCTTGTAATTAAATGGAAGGCTTCTCAGAATTTTTCCGTTATTGTATTTTACACAGTAGCATTTCTAGGCTAAACAGAAATAAAACAGAAATTTTCACTGAACTTCTCTTCCAAATGCTCTTGCACTTAATGGAATTCCAGAGTAATGGATTCCGAATCTTACTGTGGGATGCAACCTGTATGTAGTGATTAGGAGGTTGGCTCTGGAATTGGGGTGGGTTTGACACTCACTTTCAGCACATTCTACACAAACTTCAGGCAGGTTAGCCTTGCAAAAACTTCAGTTTCCTTATCTCTAAAAGAGGGGTGATGGTAGTCTCTACTTTGCAGAGCTGCTGTGGGGATTACATAGGACTGTGTGAATTAACACCTAGCATGAACACGCTCAATAGGTGATCACTTTAATTACCTGTATGACCCGGGCTAGTGAGGGAAACGGGAGGAATTGAATTCTTCCCATTTTATTGTTTATGTAGAAGAGCAAGCTCTGGGCTCTGAATCAGGAAAGTACAGTATTGGTTCTGCCACTGGTAGACTGTGTGGCTCTGGGCAAGTTACCTTCCTGTCCTCCTTCAAGTCTCTTTTTCCATGTATTAAACAAGATACAAACCAACATTCACTGAATACCCATGGGCCAGGGTTGTGTATTGTATCACGTGCACTAATTTATTCTTCTATTTATTAATATATCCCTCTCTATACAGAACAGCTGTCCAGGAGGTTAAACATTCACCCCAGGGATGCAGGTAGGTGGCAGGCCAGAACTCAAAGCCAGGCTGCCTGGTTCTCAAGGCCAGATGCTTCACGCCACTGCAGCCCTTCACATCCCTGCTCAGCCTCCCAGACCTGTGTCCCAAGACCGACATCTGAAGGACCTCAGAGATAACAGCATTTCTCAGCTCCTCCCATTTTATACATAGTGAAAACTAAGGCCGAAACAGAGTAAGAAACTTAATTCAGGTTCACACAGATGGCCCAAACGGTCTGCAAATCTAGGCCTTAGGCTCCATCTAGCCCAGAAAATTAAAGGTCCAACCCTGAGTCTTTTCAAAAGCAAAAATCTGCCCTTATATTGTCAGTGTGTCGGCAGATAATGATTTACACTCTAGTTTGATCAAATCCCTACTTTCCTTACATATTTGTGGTTTCAGTCAGTTCAGGCTGATGTAGCAAGATACCACAGAGTTGAGTAGCTTGTGAACAGCAGGAATTTATTTTTCCCAGTTATGGAGGCTTGGTGGTCTTAATTAGCACACCAGCATGGTTGGGTTCTGGGGAGGGCTGTCTACTAGGTTGCAGGCTGATAACTTCTCTTTGTATCCTCACATCATACTAAGAGAGTGAAAAGGCTTTCTGGGGCCTCTTTTATAAGGACACTAATCCCTTTCATGAGGGCCCTACCCTGGTGACCTAATTATTTTCCAAAGACCCCACCTCCAAATATCATCACCTTGGGGATTACATTTTATAATACATAATTTTTGGAGGGTATACAAATGTTCAGTCCATTACAACTTGGATATCTTGGGAAATTGACCCCAGTCACTTTGTCACCAGAGCTGCTTCAGCTGTAAGCCAACAACCCAAGGAGATCCTAGAAAGTCAGTATGTGTCTCTTGCTTCTAAGGATAGGACCAGGAACACATTGGAGCTGTCCTATGTATTTCTGCAAAAAAACCAGGTGCTCTTTGCAGACCCTTAACCCTGTGAGCCATGTGGGAATCTGTCCCTCCATCTTCTTGCTTTTTATTGGAGAACAAGGACAAGTATAAAAAAAGAAGCTGTTAGCCCTCTCCTCAATCTATACCCAAATGACTTAAAAACAGCATATTACAGGGACACAGCCACATCAATGTTTATAGCCGCACAATTCACAATAGCTAAACTGTGGAACCAACCTATATGCCCTTCAGTAGATAAATGGATAAAGAAAATGAGGTATATATACACAATGGAATATTATTCAGCATTAAAAGAGAATAAAATCATGGCATTTGCAGGTAGGTTAATGGATGGAACTGGAGATTATAATGCTAAGTGAAATTAGTCAATCCCAAAAAACCAAATGCCAAATGTTTTCTCTGATTTAAGGATGCTGATTCATAATGTGGCTGGTGGGGGTGGGGAGCATGGGAGGATTAGATGAACTCTAGATAGGGCAAAGGGGAAGGAAAGGAAGGGAGGGGTCATAGGGGTAGGAAAGATGGTGGAATGAGATGGACATCATTACCCTAAGTATATGTATGAAGACACGAATGGTGTGACTCTACTTTCAACCAGAGATATGAAAAATTGTGCTTTATATGTGCAATATGAATCATAATGTATTCTGCTGTCATATATAACAAATTAAAATAAAAATGTTTTCATAAAATAAAAAAAAAGAAGTTGTTATTCAGGAATACAGAGGTCATAAGTCAGTTAGCTGACTCTATTTACCCCTGGGCCTTTGAAGATGGCAATTAAAAAAAAGGGGGGATGATATTTGCTTTAATATTTTAAATAGTATTTAAATATGTGGCAACCTCCTGCACTATGACTCTCCTGCTGTTGAGCCTGGTTCAGTTCCTCTGGGGAGCCAGACTGATTTAGTGTAGTTCTCTGTGTGGTCAGGGGATCTCTGAGGGTCCCCGAGTTCCTCCTTTCAAGGGATCCGTGAGATTAAAACTGTTTTAACAATTGTGTCAAGATATTACGTGCCTTTTTTTACTCCCATTTTATCTGGAGTTTTCTGGAGGTGACATGGTACGTGATATCTCAGCAGACTGAAGGCAGAAGCATGGAGAGAATCCAGCGGTCTACAATTCCGCCAGACATGGCAGATTTGCAAAGCTATAAGATGAACCCTCTCCTTTTTTGGAGAGAATTTTCATAGAACTTGAACACACCTGTTCATGTAAGAGTTACCTATATGTAGATTCCATGTTTGGGATGAAAAGAATCATCCATAGTACAAAGAAATCACACCCATCGAACCATCTGCCAGGTGGTCAGAATTCCAGCCGAAGCCCCTCTCTGACCCCAGGAAAATCACCTCCTTTGGGCCACTGAGTAAGGGATTGCTTCCTTGGCCCCTTTAGCTTTTAGCTTTTTATAATTTAAGGTGTCGTTCCCCATCAGAATCAGGAGCTTCCTCCTGAATGCTCGTGAAACGGTGACCGTGTCTACCAAACAGCATTGCAGGAGAATGAACCAGATGATTGTGACCATGAAAGTGCTTTGAGAATTAAAAAGCACTAGTTTGGGGCTGGGGATGTGGCTCAAGTGGTAGTGCACTCGCTCGCACTCGCCCGGCATTCGCGGAGCACTGGGTTCGATCCTCAGCACCACATAAAAATAAAATAAAGATGTTGTATCCACCGAAAACTAAAAAATAAATATTAAAAAAATTCTCTCTCTAAAAAAAAAGCACTAGTTAAATACAAATTCTAATAAAAGGTTAAAAAGCATAAATATGGACACGCAGCACACAAAGGCAAGACAACAAGTCTGAAACTAATCACTTATTAAAAATATTCTGGAATTTTATTTATTTATATACACTGAAAAAGAGAATAACAGGCTACTATGAGCACAAAAAAAAATCTCAAAGGACCAGAAGTAAAAGATGTCTATGGCATGGACTCAGGAATTTAAAATTACTCATTATTTTAAATACACTAGATTTTTTCCTAATGATAAAAAATTAAAAAATGGTCTTTGTAGAAAAGTTCAGAAATATAAACATAAAAAGGAGAATAAAAACCACCTATAATTCTATCCCCTCAGAAATAACTCCTAACATTTTTGGGTTAAAAAAAAAACACCTTAGATTTGTTTTATATGATTGATATCATACTAAATATGGAGGTCTGTGTTCTGCTTTCTTCACTTAGCATCGCATTGAGAACACCTCCCCCAGGACATTACAGATTCTTCGTAAACACGAGTGCAATGGCTGCTTCTGTTTCAGCCCCACATTGAGGACTGAGCTTCCGCAGCAGGCTGGGCCTGAATAGAAAATTAAAGACATAGCAAAGCCAAGGCAGGAGAACTGAGTCCACAAGACTGAAAAAAATCAGGGCCTGAGTTCCTCCTCCCCGGGGGGAAGGAGTTCCAGCTCTGAACAGGCTCCTTCTGAAAGTGGGGGATTCTCCTGCTTCGTCCTAGGACAGGCTGGTGGATTTCCATTTAGGTGAGGTCAGTCCCTGACCATGTCAATGTCAGGAGGCTCTGACATGAAGGATCTAGTTCTAAACTGGCAACGTGGGTCATAGATTCTTTTTTGCTTACTGGCTGGTCACACACCTTTTTAGGAGCACTGGTAGCGTCTCCTAGTAGGAAGCTACTTCTGGTGACTTTCGGGTGTGTGTGTGTGTGTGTGTGTTTTTCCCCCTCTGTGGCTGAATGAGGGTGTCAAAAAGCAAAAAAAAAAAACCAAAATGATAAAAAGAGAAATTACTCCTGGATAGTTGGTAAAGACAGCACTTTAAAGTCACCTAGGGCCTTCACATCCCCAGCAGTCCCAGCCTTTGCTGGGCTGTTCATGATGGTGTGGGATTGGCAAAAAGGAGAGGAAAGAAGGTTGGAGGTAGGGTGCCACAAGCGTAGTTCTCTGAGAACTGGATTTTCAAGTTCAAAGTGCTCCTAGCTTTCTTCTTCCGGACAGTGCTCTTCACATCATGGGATAAGCGATGACAAAATAATTTAGCTCTGAATCGATCAGCTTTCTGTACTTCCTGTAAATTTCCCGGAGGGTCCTGTCTTCTTCATTTGTCTCGTATCTGTTTGTATAAATTCTCACCTGGACCAACAGAGAAATGCACCCCCCCACACACACACACAGTGACCACATCATTCAGGACCTAACAATTAATCCAAAGGATCTGATAGAATTAGGAAAAGTTTAAACTAGCTACAGTCATCCCTTGGTATCTATAAGGGATTGTTTCCAGGACTCCCCCCTGTTCAGATACCAAATCCATTGATGCTCAAGTCCCTTTTATAAAATGGCATAGTATTTGAATATAACCTATGTGCATCCTCCTGTATACTTTGAATCACCTGGAGATGACTTATAATACCTAAGGCAACATAAATGTTATGTAAATAGTTGTTATACTGCATTGTTTAGGGAATAGCAATAAGAAAAAGAGTCTGTATATCTTCAGGACAGACCAGCATTTTCCCCCAAATATTTTCTATCTGTAGTCAGTTGAATGCACAGATGTGGAACCCATGGATACTGAGGCCTGAGTGTAATATGGAAGGGAGCTCTCTGTGAAACTGTTCGATTCAGGTGTGATGACTGCCCCCTGCCCAGCCGTCACTTCATCTCTGACCTGCATCTCAGAGCAGAATCACCATGTCCAGACACCAAGGGTGTCCAGACACCAGAGAACCAATTGGGGGCTCTTACCTTGAGGGTGTGCAGGGCACACTGCCCCTCCTCTTGGCTCTTCAGAATTCGCTCTACAAATCTAACATCGAGGAAAGCCCAGATTTTAAAGTAAAACAGTTTTCTGCAGTTTAGAATGAGAAGGTGCAGCTCTTCATCCAGTGACTCATGGTTGTTGTTGAACTCAAAAGTTAATTTCTGGAAAAGTACCAAAGAGGGGAGTGTGTGGGCAGGGTTGCTGGGACTGGTTGGGTCATTCTACCTTATCTGCAAGGCCCAGCTTTGGGCCTGATGATAGCTGGAGTGGTTTGCAAGCTTTTTAGATAAGGGACACTAGATATTTAATTCTCAAAGGAAGAGATTTGAGAATAAGTGTGATTGCATGCAAATTTGAAAAACTTGGAATGTGGAGGCAAGTGCATTTGGAATCCAGAGACCAAAGTGCTGACCTCAGCCCTGGGATGGACTGGCTGGGTGATAGTGGGCAGGCTGCCAAACTTCAGGTTTTTTCTGTAGCTCTGAGAAATCATAGTGATGTCTGCCCTGCACGCCTCAGGGTTATGCGGACATCAAATGAGCTATTAGCATCTTCATCCATGCTCATAATGTTATTTATAGTTATTCATGTCAATTGTTACAACCACTGGGAGGCCTTTAGGAGGGACAAAAATGATTTTATATATGGGGGAAAATGCAAGATTAGAGAATAGCCCAGAACCTCCAAGCTCTTCAGTGAACTAAACTGAATTTAGCTTTTAGGTTAGTTTGGTTCTCTCCCAACCCATCTTTCCAAGTAGCAGGCACTTCTGTAATCCAATAGGTCCCTGCAGAGCACCAACCACAGGAGCCACAGGGACTCTGTGTTCTGCTGTGGCCTGGTAGGAAGGTGGAAGAGGCTGACCACCTGTCACTTGGAAGGCTCCTCCTAACTCTGACTTCACAGCTCTGAGCTAAGGATATAGAGGATTTTCTTGGTTAACAACCAACCAGAAAATTCCTGTATTTCAGGAAAAGCTCAAACCAGCTACAGTCATCCTTTGGTATCTATAAAGGATTGCTTCCAGGACTCCCCCTGTTCAGATACCAAAATCCATGGATGCTCAAGTCCGTTTTATAAAATGGCATAGTATTTGAATATAACCTATGTGCATCCTCCTGTATACTTTAAATCACCTGGAGATGACTTATAATACCTAAGAACAACGTAAATGTTATGTAAATAGTTGTTATTCTGCATTGTTTAGGGAATAGCAATAAGAAAAGAGTCTGTGATGAGCAGCAGTCTTTGTCATCTGCTGTGGTATTGGGGACACGGGGGAAGTTGGTCTGGCAAACATTTCCTAGACCCTCAATTTGAGATGTGTGGGAGCTGAACTAAGAACGGGCAGCAGAGGGCTTTCCTCTGGGAAAGCCAGTCACCTGAATGACAGTCGCTCTTCTCAAGCCTTCCTGAGTCTCACTTCCCACTTACCTGCAGAGTGTGCCGGAAGGTGGGGAGGAGGTCCATCAGAGTGGGCCGCATGGACCAGTCTGGATCACTGAAATAGCAGCTTCTCAGACTGATGCTCCTGACCGGGATCTCCTGCAGGAGGATCCGGGCCAAGCGCTCGTACTTCATGACCCGCTCAAAGAAGAAGTTCACCTTCAGGTTGCTGGCCTGTCTGGCCAGCTTGGCCCAGGACATGCCCCAGACAACTTGGCCATGGGGATCATGAATATGGCATTTGATGTTCATGGTCCAGAGGGTGCTGGCGTTGTTCTCACCCAAGTTCTCGAGCAGCTCATCGGAGATACAGTTGTAGTTGAGCGTCAGTGACACCAGGTTGTGGAACGTGGCCATGGTCTTGTTGAACTGGGGGCTGCTATAGACGGCCAGGTGATGGCTGAAGTAATCCTCAATGTTGAGTTCCGAGGCGATGCTCTCGTTCCGCAGGTAGCTCAGGGAGTTGAGAACATGGCAGCCTTGCTCCACTGTGAGCCTGGCCCCTTTCAGGCTGAGGTAGTCCAGGTGTTTGCCCATTTTCTTTAGGAAGAAGCTCAGGCTTTTGATGAGAGAGCTCCTGATGCTGTTCCTCCAGACCAGACGGTCCAGTTCCAAGTGCTGAATGGAAAGAGACTTCAGGCGGTTGTTACTCTTGCCCAGGCACGAGAGAAGACCTCGCATGGTGACCTGAAACTTCTTAGTCAAGACAGCATTGTAAGGATTCAGGAATTTGATCTCCAGGTGTTCCAGATAACGGCCAAATTTCTTAACATACCAAAGTGCTGACTCAAATTCGGATGCATGTACCCGGGAAGGTCTCCCGCTGAAGGTGATGGTCCTGTATCGCCAGAGGTCAGCTGAATACATCATCTGGTTCCACTTCTTGCAGACCAGGGCTGCCCTGGACCTGTCCCTGTCTCCCAGCCACCAGAAGACACGTCGCAGGCATATATCGGGCAGGGTGGCCCAGCAACTCTGGTCTTGAGGCTGGATGGGTTCACTTTCTTCATCCATCAAAGAACCCAGATGTGTTGTGCAGCTGCGTGGTAAGCAGGGCTTCCAAAAATGAGGAAAGACAAGCAATTGTTTTCTGTGGGGAGTACAAAGGAAGAGCCATTACCTGCCCAGCAGAAGTTAAACTCAGTTGAACCAACTTTCTCTGTGGTCCTTTGTGTGCTATATTAGGCATGGTACCAGCTGAGGGGGGTTCAGATTCACCTCATGACACAACCCACACCTGTAAGGATTGCACAGTCTATCCAGGGACGAGGATCGGTCCTCAATTTCACCACAATGCAAGAAGTGAAAAGGTCCAGGCATAGTCACTGTAGACCAAGAGTCTACCATTTATTGTCTCTGGGCAGGGAGGAAGTAGAGAGGGCTGCTCAGAGAAAGTGACATAGGTGACATGGTTTTGAAGGTCAGATCTGCAAGGCAGATCCACTTGGCCTGGTGGTGGTGGTGGAAGTACTGATACATTCCAGGCAGAGGGGACGATAAATATGTGAGAGGCCACAGGGCTGTGAATGCATAGGATGTGTTCACCTTCAGGGAAGTAAAATATTGGACATGTGGCAAAGGTGCTAGATCCAGTAGGACCTACAGGAGGTCCTGCATGGAGGGGGCCTAAAGACTGTGTCCAAGAGGCCAGGTTTCCTGTTGTTCCTTCTCCCTGAGTGTTTGGAATTCTGACATGGTCTGCCTGCTTCTCTGGATGCGAGCCTCTGTGTGCTCTGAGCTGCATTGCTGATGTACATTCAAGAGGTAGAGCAGCAGAACAGTGGTGGAGAACCTCAGCTAAGGTCAGGGAGCACTATGAAGAGGAAGGGTCATCTGTGTGGAGGTGATGTGGTCAGCCTCGGGTGTAGAATGGACATACTGGGGGAGTAGAGGAAGGATGGTTGTGGGAAATCCAGGCACTGCGGTGGAAACTGGGTCTGTGAGGGCCTTAGAGGACATGATTTGACAACTGGTGTTTCTGATTTGGCTGTTGGATTGCAGGTGGTGCCACCAGCCGACCTTGGGAGTCCCGCTGACCCCATGGGGGTCTCCCTGTCCTGCCTGATACAAAGAATCTGCTGAAGTTTTCACAAGTTTTTTTCTTTCAAAGTTTCTCCTGCTCAAAACTTCCTTTATTTTCCTTGCTTCTCCCAACCCCCTACCCCCGTACGTCCAGGTTCAAGCTTTTATTGGCTACTCTATCAAGGAAGCCTAAGATTGTTGGTCCCAGCTCATAAAATCATAGCACTGGAAATAGACCTGAGAATTGGTTTCAGGTGCATGCTGGAGCCTAGAGAGGTAAAGGATCTTGCCTGAGTTCACACAGCAAGTGAGTAACAGGACCCCAGAACTAGAACCTGGGCTTTCTGACTCTTTTCTCTTGAACTTTTTTTCTTACCTCTATTTTTTGGGGGCCTCAAATGCAAAGGGGAAAATTATATTTTTCTCAATGTGGGATAGACATTGTTTGTGTGCACGAGACACCACTTTGGTTTTATTTATTCATTTATTCCCTTTAGCTCTTTATCTCATTCCATCACTCTCTTCTGTACATGGTAGACAACTAATCCAGTATGTTTGATGTGCCCCTTTTTGTATGTGTGTTTGACAGGTGTGTGTTTAATGTCTGTAAGATTCCTTCCGTGGCTCTGTGTATATTTCACCCATTGCATCCTGCTGAACAGGACCCACGGTGGTCTACCTGTCTTTGTCCCATCCTCTGTTTCCCATGATGGGCCCAGGTCTCCTCCTGCTCCCATCAACACCACAGACAATGAGCATCCTCTAGCAAGTGCTATGTGGGCCTTCCTGGTGACCTTCTCTTTTATTATTCCTCCTCCATCAAGTTCCCTTCCTACCCACTGAACAGTTTGGCCCCTGCCTGCAGCAGGCCCTCCCCCACATTCAGATCTGGACAGACTTCCAAGAAGAATTTAATAGTAGCCTGCTGTCACCCGTGACCCCAGGCTCTAGCCGGTTCCCAGAGTCCCTGCCTGCATGTTCAGCATGCCCCCTTCTCTGTTCCTTCTTACCAGTGTGCATCACTGTGTATGATCTGTGTCCTTGTCTTTCTCTCCTAAGGGATCCACACTGCTTGGGACTAGGGCCATCCCCAGTCTTCTACCGAGTAAGTACTTAAACATTTAACAAATGAAAAATTTGGGATGTCTCTTCAATCACTTGTAAGCTACTCAAGGTTGGGGAACCTCTGCAGGCCATACTACGGATCAAGACATTGAAAAGGTGTGCCCCCAAATCTAAACCAATTCAAAAGCCAAACTGAAGGGGTGGAGGTGTCACTCAGGGGTACAGTACTTGCCTTGCATGTGTGAAGCCCTAAGTTGCATCTCTAACACTGCAAAATCAAACAAACAAAAACAAAACAAAGCTAACCCCCTCTCCTCCTCAAAGTCAAAAGTGGGAAGAACCATAGATATTTAAACAGTCGGGGTGTGGGTAGAAGAATATGTTTGGTGGAACTGGAGAAGTTTTTTTGAGGAACCCCCAATCAAATATGATGACTGAGAGAACCCTAGACCCTCATCACAAGTGAGGCAGTGTATCTTCGTGGGTTGGGCTCTGGCCTGTTGATTCCTTCTGTGTTACCTTAATTTCTTTGTGCCTCAGTCTCTGCATCTGTAAATAGGGTAATGGTACCTTTCTCCTAGTGTTGGGAGTATTATATGAGCTGAGTTAGGGAAAATGACAGAAGAGCGCTTAGAACATTGGAAACCCTACCCAAACGTTGGCTGCCATTAGGAAGTAGGAGGGGACCAAGATACTTCTGCCCCATCCTCTTCAGAAAGAGATGAATCCATCCATTTTACAAATGGAGAAATAGAAGGTAAGACCTTGGATTCCAACCCAAGCTGGGACTCCAAGCTGGGCTCAATCTACCATATCACACAGCCAGTCAGGAAACCTAAGGATGTCCTATCCATCGGGCGATGCAGGGTGGCTGGGGAAACTCCCAAGGACGTCCAGGAGGAGGCGGGCGAGGAAGGCAGCCCGCCCCTCGAGCTCCAGACCTCTGGGCGTCCCTCCGCCACCCCGCCTGCGCCTCCCGAAGGGACTTGACAGCCTGCAACCCGCGCCCCCTCGCCAGTTACCCACTCGCTGCGCCCCGCTCCGGCTGTGCCCGGTTTGGGCTGCAGGGATGGCGAGTGCCTGCCTGCTTTACCCACGCCGCTGCTGCTCGGACGCCAACTCTGAGCACCCGGGGTCCGCACCCTGCCATCGCCCAGGTAAATAAATGTCCATCTCCGGGTCGCCTTTGTGACGCCCCGCCCGCCCGCACGGCTCTGCTCAGCACCACAGGTCTCAGGGGCTCACACTTGGAGTCGCCAAGTCAGTTGATGGTGTGTAGAGGGCATCGAGCAACCCGCGCTGACTGCCCAGGAGAGGACCCTACCGGCGCTTGGAGGCAGGGGGCTCGCGTGGCACTCGGGGTAAACATGGTCATGCACTCTACCCTTCCATGCAAGGAAGAGGTTCTGTTGGGAAATTGGGGCTCAGTCCACAACCTGTCGGGTCCTGACCTAGCCTCTGGGTCCCTCCAAGCCTCTGGAGACCCAGCTTTTGCGCCTCTCTTTAGGAAGTCGCTGTTGCAGGCTTTACCCTGGGGCTCTCCTTTCTTCTCTTTGGACAAGGCCCCCCAAGAAAAGCCTGAAGCTAGAGAGCCGCCCCACCTTTTCAATCCCTCCCGCCTCCTCCTATCCAGGATGTGGTTTTCCTAACCCACCCACCTTCCTTGGCCCTTCCCTACTCCAGCCAGGGAGTTGGTGCCCAAAGAGATCTCCTCAATGTCCAATGCCCCCCGAGAAGAAAATTGAGTGTACTGTTTGTCCCCAGGTAGGCTGCATCTCCAGACTCCCCCTCCTTCCCTACCCAAAGTCTTCAAAGCTGCCCCTTTGTTTGTCACTTGACCCTTGAGCCTCATTTCTCCCTCTAACTGCTTTCTTTTCTTTCCTCTTCTTTTCCCCACCCCCTCCTTTCCCCTGCTCATCCTCTTATCCTGGCTCCTGCCATCTCTTGCCCTGGAAAACCAGCGAGAAATTCCAAAGAAAGTGAACAAGAAGGTTCCAGGAAGGACATTTTTATTCTTCAGGGCAAAGCTGAGGTCTCTTAGACATGGGCCAGCTGTTGAGTCCAGATGACTAATCAGAATGCTCAGCCAGAAGAACTGGAATCCTTTTTCTTCTTGGTCATTTGTATCCCTTGGGTAAACCTATGTCTCTGTTCAAAAGAAGAAATATGGTTAACATGCAAAGCTTTTCTTCTAAAGCCTAAAGAATAAGGAACACCGGTGTAATAGGAAATCTAAATTCTTAGTACCTTTTCCAAATCTAGCTGGACTTTCTCACTTGTTTTCCTTTCCATGAAGCTAACCGCAGGCATTTCTCCTAAAAAAAAAAAAAATGGATATAAAAAAGTTCAATATGTTCCCAGTGGCAAGTGCTGGTTTCTGAAATGTCTCTGAATATTGCTGTCCCCTGTTCCTGAGCATGAGCTCCAAGATAAAGATGGGGTGGGATGGCATAGAAGAGGCCCCACTGAGCCAGGAGGGGATCAGGAGATTCTAGGAGAGTGTTAAAAGAGACTGGTGATCATGGGGAAGGAGCAGAAGAGAGACTCTCATGCAAGGACTCCTATGTAGCCATTGAAAACAATAAGCCACATTGTTTGACTCAAAGGGATTTTACTTGGGTATTGCTGGATCATAATATTAAGATGCAAGGAAATGTGTATAATAGTGCTCCAAATGTACATGTTTGCATATGATTATATAACAAGATTATCCAATATAACATAGGATGGATACGCAGTTAAATTTTAATTTCAGAGAAACCAAGAATCATTTCATGGGGGCATACGTATATTTAAAAATGCTTTGTTTCTATGAAATCCAAATTTGATTATCATCTGGTAATTTCATTTGCTCAATCTGGCAATCCTATTGTATAAGAATGGAGAGGGGTTGGGGATTTAGCTCAGTAGCAGAGTGCTCGCCTAGTGCAAGGCCCTCAGCCCTGAGTTCGTTCCTCAGCCCTGAAGGAAAAGAAAAAAAAAAAAGGAATGGAGAAAAGAGAAATAGCCCTAATAGCACCCCCAGTAAATATGAATTAGTTCATTTTTAAAAAATCATTGCATATATTGATGATAAAGAAGTTAGAAGAAAAGATTTAGATCTACCTTTGTGTAGAGAGTATGTGACATACATTAAATGGAAAAGGCAAATGACTATATAAAACTAATATGTGAATATAATGAATATATAAAACTAATATGTGGGGAAACCGAAATAATTCAAGCCATGCATATGTTTGTCAGGGTTTGTGTGAAAAAAAAGATAAAGCTTTGAAAAAGGACACCCACAAGGCTGTTGAAATCTCAGGGCATAGGAGTGGGGAAGGGTAAGAGTGGGGAATGATTAATTACCTTTGATTCCATACTCTTTAATATGATATTATATCAGGTAGTTTCAACAAAAATCTAGTACTTTGTATTTTAAATAATATCAAACAAACAAACCAGTCCAGAGCTTAAGAACATAAATTTTAGAGCTATATATGTGAGGATTATGGACTGGGTTCTGGCACTTTATAATTGCACAATCCTGGGAAAGGTAGTCTACCTTTCTGTTCAGTTTCCTCACCTGTAAAATGAAGATAAAATACCTGTTTTTATTGTTTACAATGAAGATTAACTCAGCCACGCGACCAGCACGCTAGCTTCATAATAGAGGTTCGAAGCATAGAAATTAACTAATGAGTTTACATTAAATTGACATGACTCTCAGTTACCTTTTTTGCTCAGCTCAGAGATGGCTCCTCCTAGCTCCTGCCTCCAGCCACCTAATGCGGTAGCGAGGTTAACACGAGAGGCCATCGAGAGAGAGAGAGAGAGAGAGAGAGAGAGAGAGAGAGAGAGAGAGGGAGAGGGGGAGGGGGGAGGGGGGCGGGGAAAGAGAGAGAGAGAGAGAGAGAACACAAGCCAGGGAGTGAGCTTTTATTGGGGAACAAAAAATTAAAGGGAAAATTCCATCCAATGAAGGTTGAGGGGGGCAGCATTCCAAGGTCAGGGTCAGTGATTGGTCTTCAGGTCAGTGGTCAGGCACACCCCCACATGGACAAGCCTTCGCACCTGAGACAGGGTGGGGAAGGCTCTGACAAAGCTTGCCTGAGAGCCTCTCACCCAGCCAGGGAGGTAACTCAAAAATCATGTGCGAGAATGGCTTCCCACAATTAACCATTATTCAAGAGCTCAGCATTGTAACTTGCCTACAATTGTTAACTACCTCTAATACCAACTGGAGGACTGGAGCTTGAACTTGGGGCACTCAACCACTGAGCTACATCCCCAGTCCTATTTTTAATATTTTATTTACAAACAGGGTCTCACTGAGTTGCCTAGCACCTCCTTTTTGCTGAGGATGCTTCTGAACTCTTGATTCTGCTGCCTCAGCCTCCTGAGCTGCTGGGATTTCAGGCGTGTATCACCACGGCTGGCTTGAAGCAATCGTGACCTGCTGGAGGCAAACCACCAACTGACTTAGAATCTGGAGCAAGACACGTTTGCTCTCTGACCCTTCTGCACCATTCCAGGCCCATGTCTCCCTCAATGATCTACACCTTCAGGAAGAGAGAGACTGGCTATCCTTGGTTTCACTCCAGTTTTAGAGCATTTTGCCATGTGTTGGTGCTGGGCTAGGAGCTGGGGACTCAAGAGATCTGGTTCTACTTTCTAAGGTGATCCAGTATCTAGGAGGTAACACAAATAAACCTTGGGCACACAGAGAAGTTAGGGAAAGGCCCGTTCAGTTGCAACACTGCGTAGCATCCTGCAAGTCTTGGACTTCTGTAAGATACTATCCAAATGGTTCACTGCCATGTAAGGAGAGAAGAGAGGCTGCTTACCTGATGTTGACATAGGGTGGGAAGGGGAAGTAGGATACCACACTGAGAACATCTCCTTAAAATGTCATAGGCTGCCTCATCTTCTGTAAGAAAGGCAGTCTTTGGCTTGTGCTCAGCCTTCAAAGGCAGGTTCATGGTTCTGTTTTTGTTTCTCTGTGCTTTCTGTGTTGAATTTTCAGAAAAACGAGGAAATTTGTTTCTATATTTTGTCTTTGGACGAACATCTCTCTCAGCGGTGGATGTTTGATTTCCAGCAGGCTCACTTGGAAGGGACAGAGGAAGAATTTTTGGCTTTCCAGATGGATGATGTTTCCCAGACTCTGAGACTGAATAACACTTACCCTGCAATTGTGAGTAATATTTCAAATTAAAAAGTGACCTCATTGGTTGAACAGTATAGCTGATTAGATTATCTGAAAACTTTCTACAAGAAGCACCTACATAGGATGGATGAAATATGACAGATATTCAATTGAAGTTCATAGTTGACTTTTAAGTGAGAGAGAGAAAACCGAGTTCCAGGAATGAAGGTCTGAATGGTTGCTGTGGTTTGAAGAGGTCCCCTCCAAAATCCACGTATGGCCAGTGTGATAGTATTAAGAAGCAGGGCCTCTAAGAGGTCATTAGATCATAGGAGCCGGAGACTCAGAGATCTGGCTCTCCCTACAGTTGCCCGGCACTGTGGTGCATGCCCATTGATGGAATTAAGGACTTTATGAAAGGAGCTTCATGCAGCATTTGAATTAACTCGCTCTTCCACCTTCTGCTACAGGAGGATGAAGCAAGAATACCCTCACCAGAAACCAAATGCTAATACCTTGATCTTGGATTTCTAACTTTCAGAATTGTGAGAATTAAATTTTGGTTCTGTATAAATTACCTTGTCTGTGGTATTCTGTTACAGCAGCACAAATAGACCATGACATGGGTTAAGCAAATGAGCAGACACTTGGTTTTGGGAGGAGATGTGGGGTCAATCTTGTAAGTAGGGGCTTGGATGAGAGAAATGTCCCATTCACATAAGGTGGGAAAATGGAAGTAACAATCCCCTCTCCCTGTCCAATGTTGGGACTCTTAAAGGCTAAATTATGGTATCTAAGAGAAAAGAATCAGCTAATTAAAAAAGGAAAGTGGTAGAGAGCTTTCCTATTTTGGGCAGAGTTTGAATGTGGAGAAGCAAAAAACAAACAAACAAAAAATGTGTCCCTGCAAACTCAAAATCACAGGCCCATACCATTGCAGTGCTTAGGGTTCAGATTTATATTAGCCTCATTTTTGGAGAAAACATAAGCAGAAAAAATTAACATAAAATTGGGAAGTAATCACACAATACCTCTGGAAGGTACATAACCTCAAAATAGATCATAAAGGATTCTCACAAGTAGAGATCCACCAAATAGAAACTCACAGTTCAAATTTACAAATACTTGTGGGAACAATCCACCTTGAGTAAATCAAAACAAATAGTAGTGTTAATATCCAAGAAATTCAGATAATAGAATTATATCTAGCTAAACTATCATTCAGAAATTCAGGGGGAAAAAGCTCATTTTCAGGCAATTAAAAATTTACTACTCACAGGTTCTTGCTGAAAGGACTACTGATACATACATCAGGCAGAGAGGAAACCATGGCAAGAAGGAAAACTTGTGATCCAAGAAAGAATGTGAGCAAAGAGAAGGGTAAACTTGTGAGTATAACCAAATAGGCATGAATTGCATATCGTAACAATAACGCTAATGACTAAAGAGGAGTAGTATGAAAACAAAGCAGATCAGAATTATGGAAACATTTTCATATAATATAGGATTAAAGGGTTTGAGTTAGCATATTTTCAAATCCATATACGTTTGTAAAGAGTTGAGATAAAGATTCATTGTGGACTTTATTAAGTTTTCATATTTAAATGTTATTAATATTTCTATAATTAAAATAATAGAAAGAAAATGCAAAATTGCCAAATCAATAGAAAAGAAGAAAAATAAGAAAATAAACTTGCTGCATGTAACAGAAGGCAGGAGAGGGAAAAGCAGCTGAAGTAGTAATGAATAAGTGTGGTAAATGGAAGGCTTCTCAAAAGATGGTGAAAAGAACTACTGTCAGTATGGCAGTATGTAAAAACGTGGATGTATAACTGATGTGATTCTGCAATCTGTATACGGGGTAAAAATGGGAGTTCATAACCCACTTGAGTCAAATGTATGAAATATGATATGTCAAGAGCTATGTAATGTTTTGAACAACTAATAATAAAAAAAAAGAAAAAAAATAACTACTGTCAATATCATTAGATGTAATAAAGGCACCATGGTTAAGTGAAAAAAAAAATGACCATATTTAAAAATGTATCTTTAAATGGTGAAATAGCAAGATATCTTGAATTTGCTTTGAAATATTTCAGGAAAAAATGAAAGAAAAAATAAAAATACAAAAAGAATGGAAAAAGTAAATATGGAAAACTTTTAATTATTGTATCTCAGGGATGAATACATAGGTTTTCTTTGTATTAGCTTTCTACTTTCATTTAAAAAAATTTTATAGTTCTAATTGCCTTTATTTTATTTGCTTATTTTCATATGGTGCTGAGAATTGAACCCAGTGCCTCATGCCTCAAGCTCTCTGCCACTGAGCTATAGCCCCAGCTCTCTACTTTCATTTTATTTGAATGTTTTTATAATAATTTTCTTAAAAATTAAGAAGATTGATTCTATTGTCATTAGGTATAAAAAATTTATTCTCTCGCTTTCTTTCTCAAGAGACAATTGGAGAATATATCTATCAAATAAGTAATAAACCAAGAAAAAAAAGGAAGACCTGATCTGAGATTTGAAGAAAAGAATTCCAACTTTGGAAAAAGGTGGAAGAAATTCCCAGGATGAGCTAGGGAATAACACGCTCCCAACATGAAATCAATAGAATACCTGGTGTGTTTAATTATACTGAGGGGAAAATTTCTGATCTGGCAGAATCTTTTGGGGATGATTTAGTGATAGGTAACTAGAAAGTGAAACAAATGAAAAAATGAAGCAACTACTAACTTCAGGGGAAACAAAGAGTTGTAGAAAAAAATAAATCTGATCATATGGCAAATCATTTATAATGTTTACATGGTCAGAATAATGTAATATTCAGTACTGATTTAACCAGCATGAATGATGTCAATAAATTGAGGGGAGGGAATGAAGAAATTTGAATGAAACCTGTATTCCTAAATCCTAATAAGTCAGTAGATAATATCTAAAATTGAAAAAAAATCAGTAAAAGAAAGTGCTTTAGAAATATGGAGGTTGCCGGGGACTATGCTGCATGCCTGTAATTCCAGCAATTCAGGAGGCTGAGGCAGGATGATCAAGTTCAGCCAGCCTCAGCAACTTAATAAGGCTTCCTAAGCAACTTAGCAAGACCCTGTCTCTAAATAAAATATGAAAAGGGCTGGGGATGTTGCTCAGTGGATAAGTACCTCTGGGTTCAATCCCTGGGACCAAAAAAAAAAAAAAAAAAGAAAAGAAAAGAAAGAAATATAATATGCAGGTAATTTATCATAGGAAACAGCGAAAAGAGAAAAATAAGAGTATTTGTATCTATGAAGCCATTAATATGAAAGGAAGCGGTGGGGATTTTATTTTAATTTTAACTGAGACTATAGGAGGCAATTAATAAGGGCCATAATAAATAATTAAACTAGATAATATATTAGAAGTTGATAGATACTATGAAAAATACAGAGGAAGGTGAGGGGTGGTGGGCATGTGATGGGGAGGGGTTGCAATTTTAAATGGGTTGTCAAGGGATGCTCCTTGTGAAGGTGTCATTTGAGCAAAGACTTGAGGTGGCTCTTTGAATATGGCAGGGAGTGGGGTGACGGGGTGACTTTCAGGAAGAGGAAACAGCCAGGGAAAATGCCCTAAGGTACGGTGTGCTCAGGAAAACCACCAGGAGGCCAGCGGGCTGGGAAATGAGATGGAGAGGTGATGAGGAGGAAAGAGAGGCGCAGAAGACGCAGGGCACAGAGGCCCTTGTTCAGATTTCGACTGTGTGAAATGGGGGCGGGAACGGTACAGAATTTTGAGCAGAGGAATGAAATTATTGTATTTTTAAAGGCTCGTGTTGACAGTCGTGGTGAGAACACACTGCAGTGGGCAAGGTGGGTGGTAGGGAGCCCAATGAGGAGGCGACAGCAGCAATTCGGGGTTGGAGGTGACGGTGGCTGGCACCAGGGTACCCACACTGATGGAAGGATGGCAGTCAAGGATGCACCTGAAATTGTGGCCTGAGCAGTTGGAAGGATAGAGTTGCCATCGCAGGAGATGGGCAAAGCAGTGGCGGAGAGGATGCCATTTCGGATGTGTTATGATTAAGCTGCCTGCCCAGCATTCAAGCATCGATGCCTGAATCGGCAAGGATACCTGAATCTGGAGTTTAGGGTAAAAAGTTGAGACTGAGATATAAATTTAGGAGTGTCAGTTTACATATGGCATTAAGAAAAAAAAAAAGGAGATTAGATGAAATGACTGAGGCAGCAGGTGTAGGAATAATAGAGACCAGAGACCACAATGGTGCTCCAAGTACAGAAGGAAGCTCCTGTCCCTCCCAAAGCTGAAGCCAAAGCAAAGGCTCCCCAAGGCAGTGCTGAAAGGTGGAAGGTGGCCACACACACACACACACACACACACGCACACACACACGCACACTTGCCCATCATCCCACCTTCTGCCCTAGGCCCTGTGACTCCCAAGTCCACCCAGATATCCTTCAAACAGCACCGCTGGGAAAGATCAGCTCCACCCCTCTGCCATCAAGCTGCACCTGACCACTGGGTCTGCCATAAAGAAGGTACGATGACAACACACTTGGGTTTTTCGTGGGTGTCAAGACCAAAAAGCATCTGAACATACTTTAAAGAGGCTCTCATATATCGATGTGGCCAAGGTCAACACCCTGACCAGACCTGGTGGAGATAGAAGGCATGATTAACTGGCTCCTGATTATGATGCTTTAGATGTTGCAAAAAAAAAAAAAAAATTAGGATCAGCTAAACCGAGTCCTGCTGGTTAATTTCAATTACACATATTTTCACCATAAAAAAGGAGATAAGAGACTGAGCTCTGCCCTGTCCCCATTTATTAGGAGGTTAGAGGGGGTGTCTAGTGGAAACCAGAAGAGTGGAGTCCCCTGGAAGCCAAGAAAAATGAATTGAGGAAGAGGGAGGGATGAGCTGGGGTGTTAAAAGCTCATTATTAATTGATGACTAAGAAATGAGCATTGGATTTAGCCAGGCAAAGGTCATTGATGATTTTGAGAAGAGCACTTTTGGTAGAGTTGGGGGAAGTAGTGGGTTCAAAAGCTGGAACGGGGGCTGGGGATGTGGCTCAAGCGGTAGCGCGCTCGCCTGGCATGCGTGCGGCCCGGGTTCGATCCTCAGCACCACATGCAAAACGAAGATGTTGTATCCGCCGATAACTAAAAAATAAATATTAAAATTAAAAAAAAAAAAAAGAAAAAAAAAAAAAAAAAGCTGGAACGGAGTGTTTGTAAGAATATAGACAGTGAGTTCAAATATTTTGCTACCAAGGGAAACAAAGAGATAATATGATGGCTGGCTGGCAGGAAATGGGATGAAGACAAGTATTTTTTGTTTTTCTGGTTTTGGGTCATTACTATTAAAGTTAAGGACAGAACCATGAAACTGCCTAGTGTACACTATATCAGTCCCCAGTTCTCAAAAATAAATAAATAAATAAAAGATGCCTTCCATGTAAGGTCAGAGAGAATACCATGGGTAGAAGTGTTAATATCACCTCTTTAAACATTCATAACAAATGTTTGAACATAGCCGGGAGAACTGTTTTGAGATTTTGTCGTTGCTTGCATGTACAGCGCATTTAACCTCTCCGTGTTGCAGAAGAGAGAAGAGAGAACTGCTCTAACAGGGTAGTAGTGACCTTGTGCAGGCAAGAAGGAAGGATGTGGTGCATCAGGAAGGGATAAGTGTTTGACAGGAGCACAGAAAGCCCTTCTATGATAATGGATGGGAAGGCAGCGGATGTGAATATAGATGCTGGTAAGGAGGGGGCTCTGGTGTTGAGTGGTTGTGGCTGTCCTCTTTTCATGAACAAGTAGATAAATCTTTGTCCCCATTTTCCACAAAATAAGAAAGAAGCTCAGGGAGGGTGCACAGAGTAAGTTGCAGATGCTTTAGATGTTGCCAAAAAAATTAGGATCAGCTAAACCGAGTCCCGTAAAACTCAAAAGAGTTTCTGACCACAAACAAATCCAGTCCCATGGTTACTATAGCTCCCCCCACCTTCAAACAAATATGTAGGTGTCCTTGGTTACAGGTTGGAGCATTTTGAAGGGGAGTAATCATCTTCACTCTTTAAAAAAAATTTTTTTTTTTAGTTGTAGATGGACACAATACCTTTATTTTGTTATTTTTTAATGTGGTGCCGAGGATCGAACCCAGTGCCTCACACATGCTAGGCAAGCGCTCTACCACTGAGCCACATCCCTAGCGATCAACTTCACTCTTATGTTGGTGCATAACAAGTATCTGATCAAACAAACAAACAAAAAACACAGGCAACTTAGAGATAAATATCAGTATTAAGGTAACTTATAGGTGATTTTGATGTGCAGTTAAGGCTGGTCATCACTTGGCTGAGGCAGCAATTCTCAAACTTGAAACACCCAGGAAATCTTGTCATATTCTTTTAAATTTTTTTTTCCTATAGTTGTAGATGGATAGCATGCCTTTATTTTATTTGTGTATTATTTTTTTTTATGCCGTGCTAAGGATGGAACCCAGTGTCTCATATGTGCTAAGCAAGTGCTCTGCCACTGAGCTACAGCCCCAGCCCTCACCCTGCATATTCTGATTTAGCATTTCTAGAGAAGGGGACTGAGAGACTGTCTTTCTAACCAACTTCTGGGTGATGCTGAGGTTGATGGTCCATAGACCTGCAGTTTAAAAAGCAAGAAGCCAAAGGCAGAAGGAACCCAAGCATTCTTGTCTGGCAACAGATTGGATAAACATAAGGCAGCATGACTATAAAAAGATCCTAAAGGAGGGCTGGGGATATAGCTAGTTGGGAGAGCGCTTGCCTTGCATGCACAAGACCCTGGGTTTGATCCCCAGCACCAAAAAACAAAAAACCAAAACCAAAACAAAACAAAAAAGATCATAAAAGGAATAAAGTGCCCATACGTGTCAAAGCTACAACATGGATGAGTCTTGAAAACGTTATGCTAACTGAAGGAAGCCAGTCACAGAGGACCACAGAGGATTTGACTAATATAAAATGTCCACAGAACCTGGGAAAAGGAAGGAATGGGGAGTAGCTGCCAGTGGGCCCAGGGTTTCTTTTTGGGGCGATGAAAATGCCCTGGAATTAGAGAGTGGTGATGGCCACATAACTCCGTGAAAGTCAAATATGTCACTAATGGCGAATTTCATGGTATCTTACTATAGTGATAAAAAAAAGCAAAAAGATCTCATTAGTTCTGATATTCTGTAAGTTCTATGAACTGAAGGGTTTAGAAAGGTAAACAGCTCTCTGTCCAAAGAGGAGTTGAGGTCTTTGGAGAGAAGTTGTGGTGACTTTTCTGTCTTGTACAAAAGAAGGGAAAACTTGGCACAGCAATGCACTAACAAGGCACTGAGGGCCCTGCAGGTCCTGAAAGTTGTAGAGGGTCAGAGGTGATCAGAAATATCAGGGGAGGTCATGGGTACTCCTTGAAGGTCAATTATGTATGCTAAATTCACTGAAAGGAATTCACTAAAATCCTTTTTGGAACCAAGCAAAAAATAAATATGGGAACCTTTATATATGTGCTATGACAAATTGGGCCAGAATTTGCTCTTTCAAGTCACATTTTTTTTTTTTTTAGAATATGAATTAGCTATTGGCATCGTGATAAAACGACTAATTGCTACTTACCCTATGGAGGATGTACTCATTTTCTGAATACTTTTGGTTACAATAAACACGGTGGATCTTCCTTTCAGGAGCTGAAATTCTCTTCTCTGAATAAGCACAGAAACAACACCACAAATGATCGCCCTTGACAATGGTTAGCCCAGCTCTCCCCTGACTGCCTGCATGGCGTGTACCTGTGAGCATGAACCGCCCCCAGGCCTGCCCCATCGTAAGTCTCCTGCGTTGCCAGCATCCTCAGCCACACAGGGATGTGGCCACATTGTGCACTCAGGGCAGCGTGCCACCCTGGGGAAGAGACATTTAGCAGGGCTGGGTTTTTAAGGAGATAAGGGGAGCCATTACCACAGGGGCCACACCTGTCTAACAACTCTCTCATTCTACTCATTTCCAAGATCTGTGATCCAGCTAGATGTTGACTGTACACATCATTAGGTTGAAGCCATGTTGTGTTGAACTTGTGTTGATGAAGTTGTGGTGCAGGTTGTGTTGGTTGTGAGGAAGCGCAGGCACACTGGAATGAAGGAAGCATGCATGGATCTCTCGCTGTCCAGTTTTCATTGGTCAATTTTGACCCTGGGTAGAGATTTATCATCTAAGGGGTTTACCAGGAGAGATTTATCATCTAAGGGGTTTTAGGCTTTCTCCACCCCCATGTTACCACACGGTGGTAACAAAAACATCGGCCACATTGAGAGCTGTGTCCTCAACACACCTTCACAAAGAATTAATTGAATTGGGCCAAGAGAACAGAAGGTGATACCAAGTGGCCAACACACAGGCCTGATGAAGTTTAGGAGCTACAGATAGCTCCCGTCTGGCCATTGCAGATGGTGGAAAGAACTAGATTTTGTATCAGGAAACATGAGTGTCCAGTCTTATTTCTGTTTTGAGAAAGCCCTGCTTCATTCTTAGATTTCTCATTTATAAAAGGATTCAGGAGGGGGTCTCACTAGGCAAAAATTGTGTGGAGGAGTTCAAAGAGACCCCCCCCCCCCATTTTGATGACTCTCCATGACTTCCTGACTCCTATGTGTGGTTCTCAGCCCCTGCCCCCATCCCGCCCAGGCCTCTTGGTCTTCCTGGACCAGTCATTTAAAGACCTCGGCAGACACACAAGAAGACCCCTCTAGAGCCTGGTGCAGAACTAGAATAGCAGATGAACTGAGGTACACACAAGGAACACCCTTCTCCTCTGCACCATGGAGGACATCCAGTCCCTTGCATCCTGCCCAGGAGAGGCTCTGATCCTTGAGGCTTCCTGCTTCCTCCCCAGGCTTTCCCTGATGCTCACCTTTTCCAAGCTGAGCCTGTCTACCCGGACAGACTTCTTGGTGCTGGGCTAGCACTTGAAGCCTGATGAACTGGCCACAGTGTAGGCAGCACTCTGTCTGCTTGTCACAGCGGGACTCGTGGATCTGCAGCTCCTTCAGGGACCCCGTCAGCTCACAGAACTTGCACTTGATGGAGTCTTGCTGGCGTTCCTCGGTCTGTGGGAGGCAGCAGGAAGGGTATGATCATTGGCCTCTTGGACAGAAGACAGGTCAAGAACCCGAACCCATCTCCCTAGGGAACTGAAGCCAATCAGAGAAGGCGAGGGCAAGGGCCAGAGTACAGGACAGTCTTCGAGGAATCTGAACTCTCTTGGACCCCTGGACCTACAGAAAACCCTCCTATCCAACATCTGAGGATGGGGGGAATGTGTTTTCCTGAGGGGGGCTGGTTCTTCATTGCTCTCTGAACCCACTTGGGTGAGAAGGCAATGTTTAGAGGGAATTTATGACTAGCTGCTTCTCCCTTTTGCTCTTCTTCTCCCATGTTGGACTGCTTGACTGTAGAGGAGGAATCGTACCTGACTCTTACTGCATGCAATTCCAGCAAGAGCTTCTGTACTTTACTGACACATCTCACACCTGATTTAAACAGAGAAAGAATGACGAGAGAGAGAGAGAGAGAGAGAGAGAGAGAGAGAGAGAGAGAGAGACTTCACCCCACACCCCCAGCCTTCCCCACATCCACCTTGGTGCTTGGTGTTTCTAGAAGGTGGGGAATCAGGTGTGGCTACCTCACTCCTTATAGCACCTAGCACAGTGTTCAAGAAGCATTTGCTGGACTAGTTTGAGCTGAAACAGATGCCCAAGCCTGAGGACTTCCAGACATACAGATAAGGGGGCCCCAAGACAGACTGACATAAAAAAGCAGGAAAGAAGAAGCGATGCTTGTCTGCCCTCCTTTCCTGCTTTCCCACGTTAGGAATCTTGAAAGACTATTTAAGCTTCCCTGAAACAAGAACCCCCCTGATCTGGGCCAGACCCACGAACCTGTAGGGAAAGAATCTGAGAAAGAGAAACTGCAGGCAGAATCACTCTAGAGTGAGAAAGACAGGGTCATATTCCTTTTTACACACAGGGGCTAAACAGGGGCTGAACAGCTTGCCCACAGGGACCAGGGAGGACTGGACTCTGGCCCCCAAGCCCTAGGTTCCCATCCCTCCTACCACCTGCTTACCTGCTGGTGCTCATTTTCAAAATGCTCCTTCATCTTCGACTGTGGGATGGGCTCCTCACACTCTGGGCAAAGGACCAGGAACCGCAGGCAGTGGGCCTCGTGGAGGGTGAAGTGGGCAGAGGCCACACTTCTTCTGCTGTGGGAGCCAGGGGGGAGAAAAACAGGCTTATTGTCATGGTATAGAACACAGAGCTTATTTTCTACCCAGGGCCAGCTCCTCGGAGTCCATCAGCACTGAAAATATGATGGCGTTGACCCCACCTGCCCTGCCTTCCCCAATGTTGGTCCAGAATCAGAACAATGCAGCACCTCGTAATAAGTCTAAGGACGATTAACAAAGTTCCTCCAGTGCTGGACCCAGCAGGTGTGAAGAAGCAGGAGGCAGGGATTGCAAGGGGAAACCTTTGGGCCGGGGGGATAGATAAATTCATTTCCTGGATCGTGGAATGGTTTCATGGGTAATGAACATACATCCCAAGTGGTACTTTAGAGACATCCAGTTTATAGGTCAATTATACATCAGTAAAGCTGTAATCAAAATAAGTAACAAATATTTAATTCTTTCAAAGCTTTTTCCTCATTTTCTGGTGCCTCTGCTGATTCAAGCCAGTTACCCTGCCAGTCCCAGGCTTCCTGTAAGGATGATGACAACTGAGAATCTCCAATGTGAGAGTGATCCATGTCTCTGAGAGTGAGAGGCCATCCATCTGTTCCCTGCCAGAGAAGTTACAAAGCCCTTCCCGATGAATCAAGGCTCCTGAGCCTCCCACTTCCTGGGCAGGGCAGTTTTTCAAAAAATCTTTGTCACTCTCTCAGCTCAGCTATTTTGGACATTCTGGGTCAGGCCTGTCCCAATTGGGCTACTCATACGTGTCAGAACTTAGGTCCTAACTTGGAGTTCTGATAATATGATCTTCACACCAATCTGTGAAAGAAGGGGGCCCATGGAGATTCCCCAGGACCATTCCCACCCTCGTTTCCATCAATTCTTGCTGGCAGCTTGGGAGGAATAAAACTATAGAGACTGTAGCCCTACAGGCTCAGATGTCCAGAGAAGAGCCTGTCAAAGTCCCTATCACATGGGACTGGACCAAGAGTGACCATCAAATCTCAATGCTCGTGGTTAGAACAAGCTGCCTGGTCAGAGGCACATAAGTGGCTTTACCTCCCCTTTCTTCTGTTCCCCCGCTGTCTACTCTGCCTGTCATGTTCCCTGAGATCTTCCTAAGCTTGTTCCGAGGACCAGAGATCTAGAAAGGTCTGGTTGGAGCAAAGCTCTCTGGGGATGTTCCACCCTGGTTCCTGCCGCTGGTAGAGAGCGTTGAGAGTGAGGCTCTTCCACGGGCCAGCTGCCACTCACAGACAGGTGTGGGCCTGGTACCTGCTCAGCTCGCTCTCAAGGTGATGGTGGAAATGGTCCCTGGGAATCTCCGTGGGTCCCTTTCCTTCATAAATTGGTGTGGAGGCCACATTATCTGAACTCCAAGTCAGTTTCTAAGTTCCAAGTATGAGTAGCTCAGTCAGGACAATTCACCTGCATGTTTCACTCCAGGCCTGACCCAGAAAGTCTGAACTAGCTGATCTGAGGGAGGGTACTGAAGCTCAAGTACTGCTGACTACCCTATCCAGAGATCCACAGGGTTTCAACATCCCAACCCCAGGGGATCCCAGTCCCCACCCTCCTGCCCTCCTGGGCGTTTGAATGCAAAGATCACATTGTGTCCTCCTCACTTCAAAAACAGCCTTCTCTGGTCTGACCCTCACTAGTGGTCTCTGCTAGAGAAAGTGCCTTCTTACCAGTTCCCGCACACTTGGAAGTCTCCCTCCATGTTCTGCTCCCTGGACTTTCTCTATTGAGTTTCGTTTCTCGAGGATGAGAAAACAAAACCGAAAGTGTTACAACAGCCCAGCCCACAACCCTAGGGAGGGAGGGGAATCTCTGAATTCGGAACCCAGACACTCCCAGGAAGCCTCTCTGCAGCAGGTGCAGCCCCTGCCAGTTCCCTGGACCTATGCTGTCCCCCTGTGCTGCTGTCACAGGCTGTTTCTACAACCTCAAGAGCAGGAGTCAGAGGCCAGACGTCCCCACATGCTTTGCTCCCTCTGGGTCTCCATCCCCTTTCCCTGCCATTGACTTCCCACTCCTACCCCTTCTCTTGCTCTTCTGTGGTCCTTCCTCTGCAGGGAAGAGATGGCTTTTCATGCCGAACTCCAGGGCTTCTCTCTGAAGAAGCTAATCCCGGACCCTCTGCACCCTGCTCTTGTGCCAGTCAGTCATGACTTTGAAAATGGGGTCGGTGGCAGCTATCCCCACTCCTCGGCTTATACCCAAAGGACTTTAAACAGCATATTACAGGGACACAGCCACATCAATGTTTATAGCAACACAATTCACAATAGCTAAACTGTGGAGCCAACCTTGATGCCTTTCAATAGATGAATGGAAACTTTGGTATATATACACAATGGAACTTTACTCAGCATTAAAAGAGAATAAAATAATGGCATTTGCAGGTAAATGGATGGAGTTGGAGAATATAATGCTAACTGAGCAGGCCAATCCCAAAAAACAAAGGCCGAATGTTTTCTTTGATATGAGGATGCAGACGCATAGGATGCAAGTGATTGGGGAGGAGCATGGGAGGAGAGGAGGAACTTTAGATAGGGCAAAGGGGAGGGAGGGGAAGGGCAGGGATATGGGGGTAGGAATGACAGTGGAATGAGTGAGACATCATTACCCTAAGTACATATATAAGACATGAATGGTGTGGAAATACAACCACTGATGTGAAAAATTGTGCTCTACATGTGTAATATGAAATGAATTGCATTCTGCCACCATGTATAACAAATTAGAATAAATAAATAATAAAAAAGAAAAATGCAAACTAAGAATAAAATTGAAGAAAAAGAAAAAGAAAATGGGGTCGGTGGAAGAAATTTGGATGCAGAGTGCTGTGCCGGGTTTCTGTTTTCGTGACTAAAAGGCTCAGGGGTCACTCTAGTTAAACTGGGCTAACTGGGCTTCATGAAATAACCACACAAGAGACACAAATACCTTTTTCTTTGGGGTTGCTGTGACGGCTCCTCTGACCTTAACGGTCCGCAGAAAGAGAGAGAGAGAGAGAGAGAGAGAGAGAGAGAGAGAGAGCTCTCGTGCTGACCCCTTTTATAGAGGAGAAGCTATTCAAATAAGGCAAGGGGTCAGGTTTCAGGGGGCTGAGTCTATCTTCATGATGTCCACTGTCAGCAGGTTGACTGACACCTGGGTAGGCCACACCCAAGGGCACAGTAAGAGGAGGGGACACACACAAGGCACTTCCATGGAAGATTCTCTCCTAAACAGGGCAAGGGGTTATATTACAAAGGAACAAGCGAGCATAGCTTCACCCATGGGGCTGTAGCAAGACACACCCATTTCTGTGACTGGGTTCCTCAGCACCCAGCTGGGGAGTGTAACTCAGTCACTCCTAAGGTTGGCCTCCCACAGTGCTGTGTTCCCAGACTATAGGCTTTGGATCACATCGTGGGAATGGAGTCACATATACCATTTGGCAGGTTGGTGGCCAGGGGAAAGTGCCTATCTCCTTGAACTTTCCCCACCGGCACCCGCCCCAGTGCTGGGGATCCAACCTGGGGCTTTGCATGCTAGCCTAGTACTCTGCTATTGAGCTACAACCGCAGCCCTTTTAATCTTATTTCAAGACAGGGTCTCACTAAGTTGTCCAGGCTGGCCTCAAACTTGCAATCCTCCTGCCTCAGCCTCCCATGTAACTGGGATTAGAGGTATGTGCCACTACACTCAGCAAGCTTGTCCTTCTGATTATAAAGTAATCATAGCAAACACTGATATAATGCCAAGTGGTAGGCATTGTGAGAAGATCCTGTTATTGTCATCCCATTTTCAGCTAATGAAACTAAAGTACCAAGGGGCTTTATAATCTGCACAAGTCGCATAACCAATAGGCAGCTCAACCGACCAGGCTTTGAACACAGGCAACCTGGCGTATTCCAGGGGGTCGGCAGGCCAGAGTTTGAATCCTGACAGTATAATTAACTGATAGCTTGAGTTATCTTAGCCTTTTTGAGATTCTGTTGACATTCTCTTGTTTATTGGACCACATGGTTGGGGGGATGTCCCGGTAATTGTGTGCAAAATTGTTTTTGCCTGAGGAGGCACCCAGAACCCCAAATAAATAAGAATGACTAGACCAGTCTTTGAATCTTTGAGGGTCAAAGAAACCATGTTCTGGGGTTGGGGCTGTAGCTCAGTGGTAGAGCATTTGCCTTGCATATGTGAGGTACTGGGTTCGATCCTCAGCACCACATAAAAATAAACAAATAAATAAAGATACTATACCAACTACCACTAAAAAGGAAAGAAAGAAAGAAAGTTCTGTTAAAGGCAACACATGTCCAAAGTAATAATGCATAATTGAATTAAGTGAACATATAACATTTGCAAATTTGTCTACTAGTGTTTGTTCTTTTCAAAAGAAGAAGTGGTGTGTGTTTAGTTAGATCAATAAAAGTGACAAAACAGGGTTGGGGGCATTGAGTAGTGGTAGAGTGCTTGCCTAGCATGTGTGAGGCCCTGGGTTTTGTTCCCAGCAGACACACATTCAATAAATATGACAAAAGAGTGTATTTAGCAGCTCAGTGAAAACTGAAATATATTCGCACTGCATAATGTTAGTTTGGTCAACAATGGGCCAGAACAAGACAGCTGTCTCTTAAGATTATAACTGAAAAACCCCTATCACCTAGTAATGCTATGGCTTCTCTCACATCTTAGCACAAAGTGTTATTTGTGTTTATGGTAATGCTGCTGTATGCAAACCTATCGTGTGGATACAATTACCAGTTGTATACAAGTATTTCACACACAATTGTGTACAGTGCATACTTGATAATAATGGTAAATGACTAGGTCACTGGTATATGGGTTTGCTACACTTTCTACTGTTATTTGAGAGTGCTCCTACTTTGAAATCATCATTGAGGGCTGGTGATATAGCTTGGGGTAGAGCACTTGCCTAGCATGTGTGAGGCCCTGTGTTCCAATCTCCTACAGGGCAAAAAAAATACTTCATTAAAAATCTAAAAAAATTTACTATAAAACAGTTTGCTGTGTTATGCCAGCTGCCGCCTCACCCATCTCATGATTACTGCATTTCTTGGTTCCACTGAGAGGGCACATTGAATAATTGATCTACACGGCCTAGTTTTGTTGAGCATGTTCTAGAAAGTTCACACAACAATGAAATTCCCCAATGACTCATTTCTCAGGGCATGTGCCTACTTTTGAGTGGTGAATGACTGCACTTGTGACTCCATTGAAAACCCTTGAAGACTGAGCCTGTGCTGCTGCAAAGAGGAGAGCCAGGATCAGTATGCCGGGGGCCCAGGAGACGCTGAAGTTCCTCCTGGGTGGACCTGCCAAGGACAGAGGGGAGCCAGCCCCAGGAGTAAGGCAAGAAGTGTCTGGGATATAGTGAGCACCAAGCCTTCATGCTGCGCTCCCTGTGAGTGAGCTCATGAGGAATCCCACCCAAGCCAAGGGGCAGTAGGCATGCTGTCATCTAGCTGGCCTAGGATAGCACCCAGGGGGAGAAGAGGGGTGGCCAGAGGGGTTGGGGTGCCATAGAGATGTGGGAACAAGATGTTGAGCTGTTTACATCCCCTCTGGCTCGAGAGAGCTACTCCAGAGTGCTCTCTACTGGTGTTCTTAGAGCTTTCCAAGATTCAGGCATGGTTTTATTAACAGAAGCAATTTAAACTATGGTGTTTTTTTTTTTTTTGTTGTTGTTGTTTCTTTTTTTTTTTTTTTGTACCAGGGATTGAACCCAGTGGTGCTTAACCAGTGAGCCACATCCCCAGATCTTTTTTATATTTTATTTAGAGACAGAGACTTGCCGAGTTATTTTAGGACCTCACTAAGTTGCTGAGGCTGGCTTTGAACTTGTGATTCTCTTGCTTCAGCCTCCTGAGCCGCTGGGATTATAGATGTGCTCCGACAAGCAGGCTCAGAGAATTCTGTGCAAACTGGGTGGGAGCAGCCTCTCTGAGGAAGAAAACAGGATTAGAAAGTGCCCAGACATGGGCTCCAGCCTCCACATAGACTCTATAATTCAGGCAATAAACAAGAAACTGTGTGTGTGTGTGCGTGTGTGTGTGTGTGTGTGTGTGTGTGTGAGAGAGAGAGAGAGAGAGAGAGAGAGAGAGAGAAAGGAGATACTAGTGAGTGACTGTGTCAACATTTCTGTGTCCCAGGTACTACACTAAACATCTTGTAGGTATTGTTTTTATTTTCATTCTGCTGTAAACATTATTAGCCCCATTTTGCAAATGTAGATAAGGAAGCTCAGAGAGGTGAAGCTCAAGGGCACACAGTGAAGTTCAGAGCTGGGTCCAGATGGGTTCATCTGACTCAGATCTCTATGTACCTCACCAAGACCCCATCTGACTCACTGGACAGCTGGAGTGGGGAGGGCACTGGGCTAGGAGTCAGAGAGGCCACAGTCGGCATCCTGATCTTCCTCACCAAGGGGAAGTTCCTCCGCCTCCCACTCCTGTCTTCCTCTGGGCAGTTTGTAAATACCAATAATATTAATAATACCAATAATAATAATAATCTCCTGCTGAGATGCCCAGGGAGGATGTCATAAAGGACAGAAATCTGTGAAAGGGCGGTAAGGCTGGCATCAGAAGAGACCGTGAGTTTTCTTCCTTTACATTCTAATTTTCTTCTCGTTCCATCTCCAGCCCTTCTCTTCCTTTCCCTATTGAAATTCCAACCGTCCTTCAACATAAGTCCTCTGCCATCCTTGATGCAGGACCTACCTCCTTTGTCCCTGGTTATAGATACTGGCTTGTCTTTCT